AAAGGGTTCCGGTAAAAAGTCAAAAAACCCCCCAAACGTTTTTTGCCCTTTGTGGGGGAACGGTTTTTCCCCCCAAAAATGCCCCCTTCAGTTCCCCTTTTTTTTCGGTGTGGGGTACCAGGAGGAAAATTGGGCTATTTATGGGGGGTTCCTTTTTTTCCCCCCCGTTTGAAAGGGGGGAAACACCCCCCCCCCGGGTTCCCTTTTCAGGCCGGGGGGGGGCGGGGGGGGGTCCCCCCCCCTTTTTTTGGGTTAGGGGCATTTTTTCCGGGGGGGGGGGGGGGGGGCGTACTCCTATGCTTTGCATGCCTTAGCGGTTAGACCACTGACCACGCGTTCTCGAGAGGAAGGAGCATTGTTCCCACAGCACCGATCACCGATGGCCAATCGTTCCTTCCTACTTTGTCAAAGGTGGCTCAAAAATGTCTTCCCTACTCTTGTCTATCTTAACGATTATCCCTTCCCGCCTTTTCAAACCACTCCCTACTCCCCAGTACAGCTACAGTCCTCTCCTCTCTATTCCATGCCTCAAACATCTCCCTGTACGTCCCTTGTATTTTTCCCAGCTCAGTCATGTACACTTCCGTCTCCTCTTCGTACCACGGACATTCCGCGACTACATGAACGGCAGGGGGGGGGGGGGGGTGTACTCATAGTCGTGCATGCCGTAGTCGTTTGACCATTGACCTCGCATCCCTACAAAGCCGGGACGGAGCACGCCGGGTTCTCACCGGACCAGGCTCTCACATCACCAAGCGCGAAGCGCCGTGAGGTATTTGGCGAGTCGCATGAAGGGTGAGCTGCCATCCTGCTAAGGGTGTTCGGCATCTTGTGCTTACTTCCTTGCGTACGGATGACAGCTGCGTATGACTTAATTTATTTTCTGGTGCTTTCACTTCCAGAGACAGTTGTAAGCACTGTGTAACTGCCTCGAGGAAGCTTGACCATTTTAACACCACGTGGTGCGATCATCCCCCGTTGCGCGGAGTGAGGTTTCTCCACCCCGCACAACATGATCTACTCGACCACCATTATGGTTACCGCCAAAAAAAAAAACCGAGGTAAAAAAAAAACGGTAACCTGGTTGCCGAGTTCACGAAGTGAATTGGCTTGTTTTACAACGTCGTTGCCAAGCGACGAAAACCCAATCCCGATGGCAAACACCGAGTGGGGGGCTTGTTTTACAACGTCGTTGCCAAGCGACGAAAACCCAAACCCCGATGGCAAACACCGGGGGGGGCGAGGGGGGGGGGGGGGGTAGAACCGCATTTGAGGGGCTACGCACGGGGGCACGTGTTTCATTCACACGCCGACGCGAAAAAGACGCCACCCAAGACCAGGGAGGGGTTCGCATAAAACAACAGAAAGATGTGGGTAAAAATCGACTTTTATCCCGGCGGAAACGAAACATCTACCACACCACGCCACGCCACGCCACGCCAAGTCAGGTGCGCGTTGGTGATTATTCTTCCTCCTCCGAACCCACCGTTCTTGGCCATCTGGTCCTGCAGGTGCACGAACCACGAGTCGAACACCTGGCACTCCGAGCACAGCTCCGACACCACCTGCTTGTAGTATGCCAGCCCGTCGTCGACGTGCTGAAAAAAAAATGCACGCGGCGCGCGCGCGGGGGTGGGGGGGGGGGGGGGAAATCACGATACCTGCTCTCCGAGGCGAACGGAAACCAGCGCATTTTTTGCGTGCACAGATTCTCGGCATGCCTTTTTACCACAGCCCGTGTGCGGTGCCCCGCGGAGGGAATATGCAAAGAAAGAACGCGGGGGATGGGTGGGGTTTGTTGTCTGTTGAAGACATCGCCAACAGGTGCTTGTGGCTGTCGTTTGAGTTACCGTTGACCTTGCTATAGGGCAGGGTTGTTGTACCAACCAAACATGCCGGAGCTTTCTGAGAATGGGAGTAGACACGTCAAGGGGGGGGTTCTGGCAGTGGCGAAAGGTGGCATACGAAACCACGTTCGAGCATTCGAGCATAAGAAATGTGCCCAAAGTGGTGTTTCTTTGCGTTGTTTTGGATGGAGATGGTTGGAGCGTCCGTTAACCAGCAACACGTTATTAAACTTGGTGAGGTATCATGTTTTCTTCGAGGAATTGATGCAACGAGGAGGAGAGGTGGCATGGACAACGCCCCATGGCCGATGTGAGATAGGCTTACCAAGCATGCAATACGCGTAGTACAAAACACCTTGTCTTGTCCAAACCACGCAGCATCCAGATGAAAATTGAATAACTCCATTCATTGCGATCGAGCCTAGAGCGACGTATACAGCATCTGTGAGCTTTCAACTTTCTGTGGCGTGGGAGATGCACACCCGCCTCTTGCTGGGTGTGTTGATCGAAACCTTTTGGACCGATCGTATTTCGCACCGATAGCCTGGCTGTTGCACGTTCATTGAAAAAAGAAAAAAGAGACAACATGATTTTTGCCAAGAAGTACAAATATGATGAGCAAAGCAAAAAAACAGCAACAACCACAGTTTGTTCGGTTGTGCTTGCATGTACGCACACAACGCATAGACTAATACCTGTATTAGGCGGGTTCCGAGGTCGCCGTCAAGTAGTGTACTTTATGTGCATCATGTTTACTGCTGCGCAGTTCAAACTGTAGAGGAAACACGTGCACTCGCAACCATGCCCGGAAACAACGAAAAAGTAGGCCAGATGGCACCAACCAGAGTTACATAGTTGTTGTTGTAGTTGTGCATTCGAAACACAATTATGTGCCCATCGACGAGTGCAACAC